CACGATTACAATATACAAAGCAATCAAAGCAAGCCTGCGCCGAGGCAGCCACGCTGTCGCCCCACTTTAGCGGCCTCCTTGGAGTTTTAGAGCATTCCGAGCGCAGGTGTGAGACTGCCCAGCAAAAGTTCCCACAAACCAGCCGCGCTAACCCCATCCAGAATTACCTCACACAACCTCCCCACCATCTGAGCCCCACGCGAACGGCGGGGTTTTCACCGTCCCCTGCATGAAGGTCATTATGCTTATGTTACAGGCTCAAGGCGGCTCGTGCGTTTGGGTGCTATCGATTGCCAAGAAAACATCGTGGCTGGAGATATCTGGCTTGGGTCAAGTGCAGCTGGCGCACTCCTATGGCTGGAACATACCTCCCGACTGAAACAAAAGCAGGGCCGCGAGTCACAACTGTACAAATTTGCATCAAGCTGCTATCTCCCCCGACGCAGGAAGGTGGCGCCTGTTGAGGCGCTCGTTCTGCTTCAGCCGCGCAGTCATGGAGCACGTGGAGGACTTACCTGTTGAAGCTGGGATGAGGTTCATCAGACTCAAGCTGAAGTGTCCACATCACCGGCCCAAAGCACCCAGGGCAAGCAAGTGCCGGACTGCTTCGAAACGACACATACTGAAAACGGTGAGCATCAGCGTGCGGACCGTGTCGGGCCTGAATCTTGGTTCTCATGAGAATGGCTAAGGTAAGAGGGGCGCGCAGCGGCGGCGATACATCATGATCGCTGGAGTCTCACACCGGGTTGCGTTCTTCCCTGCCCAGAAGTTCTTGGATGCTTGTTTGAGCCCGGTGAGCAGTGAATGGTGTTGCCGTGTGTGTTGGTTTGAAAGGGGCTGGCTGACAAGTATTTGGCAGTTCTGAAACTTTGCGAGCGTTGTCCTGCGTATTGGTTTGAAAGGGTTGGCTGACAAGTATTTGGCAGTTCTGAAACTTTCAAAGGGGAGTCCGACTCATGAGCATGACACTTAGCACAAGGGGAGGTTCAGTGCAACGGCATAAACATGAAAATTCGGAATTCGGCCTCAGGGTCTGGTGGAGGCGGAGGCGGCGGAGGAGCGCCTCCAGATGCCGCCAGCAGCCCACCACCACTACCACCCCCCCCCCCCCCCCCCCGCAGCCGCGCCGCCGCCGCCGCGACGACGACGACGACGACGACGACGACGACTGCTACTCTCCTACGCCCTACTCCTACTCCCTACCCCTACTCCTACTCCTACTACTCGCCCCCCTCCTACTCCTACTCCTACTCCTGCTCCTGCTCCTGCTCCTACACCTACACCTACACCTACGCCTACACCTACACCTAAACCCACACCTCCTCCTCCTCCTCCTCCTCCTCCTCCCTCCTCCTCCTCCTCCTCCCTCCTCCTCCTCCTCCTCCTCCTCCTACTACTACTCTACTCCTACTCTACTCCTACTCCTACTACCCTACCTACTCCTACTCCTACTCCTACTCCTACTCCTACTCTACTCCTACTCCTAACTCTACTCCTACTCCTACTCCTACCTTACTCCTCCTACTCCTACTCCTACTCCTACTCCTACTCCTACTCCTACTCCTACTCCTACTCCTACTCCTACTCCTACTCCTACTCCTACTCCTACTCCTACTCCTACTCCTACTCCTACTCCTACTTTCTCCTCCTGCTACTCCTACTGGGCAGTAGTAATGCTAATACCATTACTACTACGACGACGACAACCACAACAACGAATACAATAATTCTACTTCTGCTTGTGCTTGGACTAGTTGTAGTGGTGCTCGTGGTAGTGGTGGTGGCGGTAATGGTGGTGGTGGTAGTGGTAGTTGTGGTCATCGTCGTGGTGATACTAGTCATTCGTGGTGGCAGTAGCGGTAGTGGTAGCGGTGCCTTCCAGAACTTTGGAAGCTTGAACAGTGTGCCCCTGTTGCAAGATCCATGAAACATGATAAGCCTTCTGCGTGTCCGCGGGGAGGCGGTGGCGGAGGGGGTACGAACCGCGGCACCCAGTGGAGAAGCAGAACGTCTCCATCCTTCCGCAGTGTGCCCACGGCCCACAACAACACGGCAGAGAATCGTTGCCATACCCCACAAGACCCAACTCCTGTTAAGCTTCTGCCTGCGAGAAAAGGATGTTCAGAGCTAATTGCCCACTGGGTTCAGAGCACCCGTATTGCAGAATGGTGAGACTTTGAAGTGGCCTCGCATTCTGCTCTGAACCCCACAAGGCGGACACACGAATATGATTTCCTGTGACCATGTTTTCATGGCTGAGTATAGTGGACGATGGCTTGGGCAAAATCAAGCTTTTTCGTGGACAAGAGCATTAACGAACCCTCTCGCGCCATCGATCCTCGTCATCTTGCCTTGGGTCCTCCCGCGCGCGGGGATCCTGGCCCGGTCGGCCTCCACAGAATCCGAAACAACAAAGCTCCAGCATTGCTCTAACACATATCACAAACAGCAGACTGCTTTGTCAAGAACAGCAGAATGCTTGACTTCACAGTTTGCTACTCCTGGCCTACTGGCCGACCGAAGTCAGTGCAGGGCGCGGGCGGCGCAGGCCTAGGTTGCCTTGGTGCCACGTAGCATCACAGCTGGCCAGAATACAGGAGGAAAAAAAAGGGACACTAACACCTGAAGCCCAAAGCTGAGTTGATGGAGCAACGCAAACTCAATAGCACGGGGCCACGCCAGGAATACTCTGTGGGATACTCTGTGGGATACTCTGTGGGATACTCTAGGCACCTGGATCCTTACGACATCTTCGACCCTCGTTGTATCTTCATAACTCGATAAACTAACCCGCGTACCGTAAACCTGATCCATGGAACCGAAGGCTACGTGGGCTGAGGAGCAAGTCCAGCTCTTCATCCTCAACAGCTGCGCCGGCCAGGGGCTTGTAGCAGAACACCTAGGCCGAGGTCTTAGGCTTTGGGCCCTCAGGGGGGTCGAGGATGCTAAGGCTGACGAACATGCCGACGCATGGTGGAGAGAGGGTGGGGGGGGGGGGGGAAAATGGAGATGATTCAGTACGATGCCTCAATGCCTACACAAATCTGCCTAGCAAGGGCTTAGAGCACTTGTGACAGTTGTGGTGTGGGTCCACACCTTGCGCCCACCTCTGCTCGCAGACAAAGTGAAGGCTGGGCCAGCGGCTCTCCCGTGCAGGTCCTCGGCCCAGATGTGCGGATCCATCTCCGGCTCCGCGGGCCGGCCTGGTTCCTGGCGTTTGGATTTCAGCTCGGAGCTTGCGCTTTTCTGATACGTATAGATAGATAGATAGATAGATAGATAGATAGATATATATATATATATACATACATGTAAAGAGATGTAAAGAGTACAACAAGCCCCTGCTATCCGGCATCCGCAAGAAGGACGCTCGATCTTCATATCTCCGAGCAACTCCAGCGCAGCTCGAATGCCGCCCAGTAGCTCTTGCCATGTCCACAAAGCAGGGGACGTGCTTTTCTGTGCCTGCTTGGAGTTTAGATGGGTTTACTAGTTTTTTTGTTCCCAGTCACTAGTGCTTTGGGCTCCTCACACCGAAACGGGGATGTAGTGGCACAGTGGCACAGTGGCAGGCGTCATAAACGCCCGAAAGTCAAGATCCCATTAATCAACTGCTAGAACCTATGGCAGCTGAATGCAGCTGCGCTATCATTCAATCTTCTGCCCTGAACCGTTGTGCTGACAACTGGCGCTGCCTCTTGCTTTAAAGACGCGAAAGGCAGCTACAGATGCCATGCCGACGCAAATCAACGGACCGTTACGTATCTGCCCCCCGCCCCCCCCCCTCCCCCCAATGTAGTCACACTGCGAGCAGCTAGGGTTTAGGTTAAGCAAGGGAATGAGTGCCCAACAGAAGGCAAAACAACTGCAACAGCAGTTTGTAGCAGATGGCTGTGGGTTGGGGAGCCTTCACAAAAAAATAGAAAAGGGGCGACAAGACTCCACAGAAGCCAGTGCCTCCACGCCTGTTTTCAGGGAGGTGCGAGAACAAAATCGCAAATAGAAAGAAGACCTCAACCCAAGCCTACTTCTGAGGGCGGTGCGAGAGCCAAATTGCGAAAATGAAGAAAACACCCGGGCGAGAAGAGGGAGAGAGATGCTCAGGCGAGAGAAGTGGAATGGAAGACACAACAGCAGCAGGTGCTCTGTAAAATTGCACTGGCTATTGAACAGCAAGCAAAACAACTACAATTGCCACGCCCACATTCACTGCGTTTGAATACGAAAATGCGGGCTCATAGGTGTAATCAGTCTGGACTCTCTTCTTATTCTGCTAGTTTCCTTCTCTCTCCCTTCTCGCTACAGTATGTCTCAAAGTTGAGATGGGGGCCACGACAAGCTAGAGAGGCGGGGGAGGTGCACCGGGCAATTTGCATATCAAATCTGCTCAGTGATCTGCAAGGACTGTCGAACAATAATCGAAGAAGAGCTGAGACAGGTGAGCGAAAGGATAATTGAATCCCAGGCGTCCCCTCTTCTTTTGTTTGCTACTCACCTTGTTCTTTTAGGGCATCAGCCGAGCGAAACCAGTCCGTACCTTCATGTTCCTCCACTTCTCTTGCTTGTATATCTGAAGCAAGCAACGGCCAAAAACATTTGCTTGTCAATCTGCCAAAGGCTCGCAGCAGTTTGGGAAGTCACTTAGGACTTAGGTGCTTGATGCATCGAGGTGCGCTTTGGTGACAAGATCAACTCCTCGAAGTCGTCCACCTCTTCGCTTGGGCCATCTGTCCTGGGCTTTGCCAGCCGCCATCGGGTGTGAAACGATAAAATCATGGTGCAGAAAGATCCACCTGACTATTGCTGAAAGGAGACACAGAACCCTAAGCTCACAACCTCCAAGGCCTAAACACACAACGCCGGCAACAGACGTAAAGGCAAAAGAGCCGATGCGAGTTGAGGCTCCTTCCCAACTGCCGGCCCATGTCCACAAGACTGGGCGCCCTGGGATGCAGCAGCTCCCGCTCCGCCTAGCGGCTAAGCGGGTTTGGGGATATTCACTCTGCGATGTGCTGCGACCGCTTGTTGCTTGTTTCCGAGTTTCGCGACGCTTTGGCAAGTCCCGCCTCCAGCGAGAGGAGAAGCACCTGACCAGCGAGCAGGGGAAGAAAAACGAAACCTGCATCGAATCGATGCTTCTCAGGCGCATCGCCCTCGACCTCTTCGTCCTCATTCAGTCTGACTTCGTCCCCTCAGCTCTTGGACTTGCAGCAGCTCTGCCGAACATCATGAAAAGCGTGCACAACATATTTACAGTTACTTTCTTCTGCTGGCCCAGCCGCGCCCCTGGGCTTGGCCGAAATCTGCTTCCGGCGCCCGTTCGTGGGTGACATGGAGGTCTGGAAGTGAGTAGGACAGGCCTGGGATGCAAAATGATGCTGTCTCCTTCAGCCATCTCCTTGACATGCACCTAAAGGGATACGTTGCCTGAGCACTCCAAGCGCACTCCAAGAGCACTCCAAGCGGCGCAGGTTCGGCCACATGTGCCGCGCGTGCCGCGCCTCCAGCTCCTGCCTTCTGAGGGCATGGTCCTGGCTTCATGTGAGCGAATACGGAGACGGTCTTTGAACGACCCGTTTTTTGGCGCTTAGGGCTTCTGAGCACAAAACTTCGCCTCTCCTGCCAGTCGTCAAAGGCCAAGTTCCGGGCGAAGCTTGCAAGCCCCAAAGGTGCGTCCAGCTCTGGCCTTGGGTTGCTTGCAAGTGTACGTAGCTTTAGTACAGTCTGCCATAGTATGCCAAAGCCGCCCGCAGTATGCTTTGGGGTTCGGGAACGTTGGAGGGCTTTGCATGATTTTGCTTGGGTTTTGTGTCCCCAAAAAGTGTCTCAAAACAAAGGAATTCCAGTATGAGATGGTAAGAGGAGCTAGATCGGCGGAACCGCGTGACGCATCTGCTGTGGACCACGCTTTTTTCTCGAGGCTTGCTCGCATTTTGGACAGAAATCGCGCTATCGCCTGGGCGCGGGCGTCATCCTCAAAAGAAGCTGCAATCGTTTTTTGGACTTCGTCGCTCTTGGATGTCTTGGGCTTTCTAAACACGAAGCTGTCGTCGCTTTTGCTTACTTCTGCTCTTGGGGGATAATTCGAGCGCCAACGGAGCTTGGAATGCTCTCCTTGTATTTTGGACGTGCTCCTGGACCATTGGAGTGCGCTTTCGGGTCCCCATGCATGGTCTCTCACTTTTTTGGGGATCAATACGCTGGCTTTACATGGTTTTGCATCTGCGGCCGGGTGACAAGTAGAAGCGCCAGATGTCACCGGCGGACCAGCTCCGCCGCAGCGGTGCTTTGGGCAGTGGTAGAATGATCCTCAGTGCAGAGACGACAAGCGACAGCTGCGGGGCACTGCGAAGCCTGCACTCTTGGGCTGGGCAATGCTGGGCGAGCATCGGCGCAGCGTGTCGTCGGCGCAATACGGCGTCTGCCTGAGGATCTATGGAAACGTATGGCAAAGTATAAAAAAGATGTATGGAAACCTGATACCTTCAAATCGATCAAGCATCTCTCTGCGCAGAACTGCATAGATATTCTCGAGGTCCCTAGAGGTCCCTACAGAGGCCCTGTCGCGCCTCGGTGTCGAGCAGGGGCCTGGAATCGGGGCGGAGCCGGAACATGGCATGTAGGTGCTCTGGAAGGCCGCTGCGCAGCGGCCGCCAGGGCAGGACCTCGGAGACATTTCGTGGTTCGAACCCTGCGGGCACTCTGGGACTGCGGCGTGCTACGTGAAATCCCTGCAATGTGACATCCCGGACTTGTCACTTAAGACTTAAACTGCTTTTTCTGAACAATCTGGTTCTAGGGCCGCTAAGGCCACTTGAGGCTCTGCTAACACCAGGTCCCTCGCTGCCAGATCCGGGCGTAGCAGCGGATCTGTGAAGCCATCGTATGCACCAGGACCCAGTCGCACACCTTTGGCACAGCCGAGTGCCCGAGCGGAGCCAAGCGAGTACGGAGCAGAAGCAAATTGCGGAACAGTGACGGAACCCATTCAGGCCTCATCTCTTTATCTTTCTTCATAATCTCTCTCAGAGGTCCATCGAGCCTGTGCCCGCAGGCGGCGCTCGGCCCCTCATCAAGGCTTGTGCACGGAGGGCCTCGTAGCTCTCCTGCGCAACGAGACACGGCCCATCACGGCCACCAGTCCACACTACCGCACCCTGATCCTGGCAACCAAAGTTTCAAGTACCCTAGACCCCAAAAGGCATTGCCCTTCAAAGCTGTGGAGCCATGATTGAAACACGTTGAATCTGGATCCGCTTCGGCCCCCAATGCCTCCGGAAGGATCGCGGCGGAGGGGCTCCGAGCTCGCGTGGTCTCCCAGCGTGGATCCAGCGGCCCGTAGCTGGAGACCTCCACGCGCAAGAACGAATGTCCCAAGCATTTTTCGAACCTGGTTTGCGCTTAGGATTTTGTAGAAATCCCCTCAACGGAACCTGACTGAACATCCGATTCTGAACCCTCAGCAATCAGAAGTGGCGGCAAACAAGGTCAGGCTGCATAGGCGGGCGCCCGCTGCGCAGGATCCTCGCGAGCAGCACCGAGGTCGGCGGCAAAGCCTCGTGGGTAGATGTGGGCCTCAGTGATGCGTTGTTGGGCGGATGGTCTTTTGCAGAGACTGGGGCGCCATAGCCCTCAAAGAATTGTCGCATTCCTTAAGAGATCCTGACACCCTGAAACCCTCCAAAACGTCCTGAAAAGTGTGTGATCGGAGATCGCAGCCGGGAAGCCTGGGACTGGCGCAGGTCATAGCTCGCCGGGCCCGGTGTTGCCTGGGTCAGGAAACACACAATCTTCCGGACTTGGGATTTCGGCGTGGCTCAGGCGTCTAATATTGCACTGGGAGTGCAACATCTTGAGGCTGAGGGGATGGCTGAGGAAGTTCCGAGGCTCAAAGGAAGACTCAAGGTAGATTCGACCTGCAACTGCCTCCAAGCTCGACCTGACATTCCTTGGAAACCACAAGGCTCTGAAACCCCCGGTGCCTTCTCTTCCTTGGGAGGGGGCTCCGGCGCCATGAGTGCAGAGGGGCCTGCAAACTGCTGCAGGCCCGCGATTGAACCATAAGTTACAAGCTCCTGTCCAGCGTCCGAGGTAAGACAGACTGCGGATTCTCCTTGACGTCTGAGGCCTGGCAGCAGCTCCGGAGCTTCGTAGTCCCCTGGGCCGGGGCAACTGCTGACCTCTGGGAGCGCTTGGCGGCTTTCAGCGCTGCGATGCGCTTTGCATAGCCGAAACAAACGATGTAGGCTTACAGGTCGACGGTGCCGGTTGCAGCGTGTACAAGCCAGATATGTTCGCAAACCATACTGACACAAGCAGCCATAACACCTGTCGACCTCAAACTCGCAAAGTTTGCTTCATTCAGGGTCAGCCGCACTTAACAACCCACTTAAGACCCTCACACCTTGACTCGGAATCCCAACCTGCAGCCGCACCAATCGTCCGGTCTCAGCGTGGCCGCTGTGCGGCTCCTGTTGGCTGAAGAAGCTGGGAGGAAGCTGAGGAAGCTGAGGAAGCTGAGGAAGCTGAGGAAGCTGAGGAAGCTGAGGAAGCCTGTTCTTTCGCGGAAACGTTGAAGAGAGACTTTGGAAAGGACAGCTGGCTGGACCACCTGACGTTGCTGAGATTATGAGCTTTGTGCCGGCCTCCGGTAGAAATAGATCTTCCGACTAGTGCGCAGAATCTCTTCTTGTTCGTCTTTTGGTTATAATTCTTATTGGTGTATTCTTCTCATCCGAGGTGCTGGTGAGACACTGTCTGACAATCTCCCTTCCTCACTCTCTCACTCACCCTCTCTTTCGCACAGCTCGCAGCTGCTTAACCATCTAGGTTCGAATCGAAACATATTCGCAGAGGGCCGGAACCCCGGAAATGCGATGCATGCGGTATGAAGTCTGAACTGGGCTTTAGAAACAGTTCTTTTGGGAAAAGGGTCTGGGCTTTAGCGAAATGCCTTCAGTGGCGAGGGAAACGTAAGGTTGTGGACTGGGTGTTTGACGAAATCTTCAATGAATTACAGGGTTTTTCAGGAATAGGAAGCATGACTATTCCGAAGCAATATTCGTTGAATGTATGGGAAACAGGGGCTTCAGCAAAATGAGTTAGCAGAACCCGTTAGCAGAACCCTTGGGTAATAATACCACCAGTCAACTCATTAGACGATTATTCCTATACTCCCCCCTACACCTCACCAACTATATCACTACTACTTCCCCATTACCAATACCAGTACAGGAATAACCGACTACCTCATCCATATAAGACGATTATTCCTATACTCCCCCCTACACCTCACCAACTATATCACTACTACTACCCCATTACCAATACCAGTACAAGAATAACCGATTACCTCACCCATATAAGAGGATTATTCCTATACTCCCTACTACACCCCACCCAATATATCACCACTACTCCCCCATTACCAATACCAGTATAGGAATAACCAATTATCCCATCCATATTCCCTACGGTAGTATTATCATCCCAAAATGGGCAAAGGTTCTCTCATAGATTTTACTAGGTTTAGGGTTAAAGGTTGTAGTCATAATAGAATTACATTCCATAAACTCTTATGAAATGTGCTTACACTATACTTATGTTTTTAACTCACGTTTCTTTTTATCATTGTATGCTTTCATTCCATCAAGACATTCACAGCAAGTAACCGTGGTTCTATACTGCATTAAATACCTACCCTTTTTATAAAAATAATATCTTTTGAAATGCACTAAATTCTTCCATTCTTTGCATCTAACACACTGCCTTTCACAATGAGGAGGATGGCACTCAGTATTAAAGTCCATGGTTAGCTTATCAACATATATTGTCATATTATATTATTTTACAATATTTATCATAATTCATTCATTATGACAAACATTGCTTCTGGAAGGCACACTGATGTGGGGCGCTGTCATTCTATAAGTAAATCACTCTTTACAACATTATTTTAGCAATTCTTCCAGCTGATAAAACTCAAACAACAATTTAAATCGCTTCTTCATAATGATAATAATCCTCTAGTTCATCTATAATAGCACTTAATCTGGCGGTATGCATTCTAATATTTCTTTCCGCCAGCCAATCTGTTTTACTTTCCTTGTTTTCTTTTTTAGGAAACAAACAATCCATATATACATTATTTACATTTTTAACATTCTTAATATAGCAGAACGCCTTAAGAAATTCCAATAAACTATGACGAAACATTCTGTATCTTGGGGTTTTTATTATTTCAGCAAATTTCTCTATCTCGTTTATTACTTCTATGTATTTATCCATATATATATATGTAAATCATATAATTTCTAACTAGTATTAATGTTAGAAGATATTCCTACAGTAGAACCTATAGACATACCAAAATACAATTATAAGAATAGTAAATACGAGATGATGCCAAGTCTACCTGCAAGAGTGTTCTGTGTTGCCTCTTCAACGGGTGGCACATCTGTTTTAATACAAAATCAAATATTAAAGGTTTACCGAGGTTCTTTTGAGAGAATATACATTTGTAGCCCTAGCGTTCATGTTGATGACACATGGAGGGCAGTCAAGAAATATATTACTGACGTAATGAAAGTGGATACCGAAAAGGAAAAAGTATATTATGAAGAATACGATCCAATTGCATTAAAGCATATAATAGAAACACAACACAAGGTCATAGACTTCCAGAAGAAGAACAAACAAAAGGAATTATTCAGTATTTTCATAGTGGTGGACGACTTCGTGGATGACCCTAAATTTGTAAGATACTCCAATATCTTGCATGGATTGTTCACACGCGGAAGGCATTCAGCAATTTCATGTATCTCATCGACACAAAAATATAATGTCCTTGCCCCTATAATAAGACTTAATGCCTCAGCACTTTTCATATTCAAACTGAAGAACATGAACGAGGTAAATAGTTTCCTAGAAGAGAATAGCGCTCTTGTAGACAAGCGAACACTGCATGACATGTATCAGCAAGCCGTGAATGTTGCACCTTACTCGTTCTTTGATATAAACACAAATGCTAAAGATGTTAATAACATGTTTTATATTAACTTTGAACAACGCTTTGAAATAGGGGATAATTAATAATGTCTTGATAATATCAAAAATTATCAAACCAATGATGCTGGGCAACAATGTAAAGTAGTAAACTGAAGCATGGGCATTTCCTTTTCTTCTCTAGTGCTTCTACTTTCTTTTCCTCTTCTTCCAATTTTGTAATAGGTCTTTCATAGCAGCTAATAATATATCAGTTTCCGATACTTCCCTGTTTTTTTGTTTTATTCATTCCATACAAACTTTATACTGCTCTTCAAACCCACTCGTATATAACAACCTCTATTAATTTTAATCGCTATCGCTACTATTTTTCGCTTTCTTTTTCAACTTTGCTATGGCACCTTCAGGGTGGACATCTCCTTTTTCATTGCTTTAAACAAATCGTTCATTTCTTCATTTTCATTCAAAGCATATTGTAAAGCACTCCATAAAATTGGGGTGGTCATAGAATAATCAAATCTTAAAAATCCGTCTCTTCCCTCTCTAACGATATTGCTCCATTCTTTGGGAAATCCTTTATAATCCATCATATCGTTGGCAATAAAACCACAACACGACCTATCGCCATATTTTCTTTATCAATAAATTTATATGTTTTAGGAACAATGTATTTAACTACTTCTACTGCCTTGTTTTTTTTGAAAAATTCTGTTATGTCTTTCTTTAATCTTTGATCACTGCTGGGACCAATAGAACCTGTATAGGAGATATCACCTATAACATCAATACCGTCTGTATTAACAGTTAAAGCATTTTTAGTGACTATTTCAGCGATTGTTTCACCATGTGTATCTGGGTTTCTTAAAAATATTTGTTCTACTGCTCCAACTGCTGTGGTATGTGTTATGCTAAGTCTCTCAAAAAAATTAACCGAACTGCCTAATACTCTAAATTCTGGAGTTCCTGTTGCTCATATATGGATGAGGTAATCGGTTATTCCTATACTGGCATTGGTAATGGGGAATTAGTAGTGATATAGTTGGTGAGGTGTAGGGGGGAGTATAGGAATAATCGTCTAATGGGTTGATGGGTGGTATTATTACCCAAAATGGGCAAGGGTTCTGCTAACTAAATGTCCTAAGGGAAGAGGGTCTGGGCTTTAGTGAAATGCCTCGAGTGACGTGGGGAACATAAGGTTTTGGACTAGGCTTCAGCCTAAACCTTCAAGAAGTAGGCTGCCTGACTGCCAATATTGGCTGAAAGTATGGGAATAGGGTCTGGGCTTTAAAAAAAGTTCTTTAGGGAAAAGGGTCTGGGCTTTAGCGACATGCCATGCCAGAAACCCCGCCCATTCAGTTGTCGACGCAAAGTGGCGTGACATGTTCAGAGGCTTCTGTGGCTTCCTCTGGCCCACAACATCACCCTAGGGACACCTCTGCACGCACACGACACGACTCTGCGGCGCGATGGCTAGCGAGCGTACCTGCATGAAAATGCCGCAGGGTCACAACAAAAGAGAGCCATCGCATCCAGAGAAGGACGTTGGCAGGTTCAGGCTTTGTTGTTTTCACATTAAAGCTGGGCTTTTCCATCTGCCAGTACGTAGTACGACCCTGAATCGCTGTCCTTGTCTGGAGGGCCAAGCGTGGCCACCGGCATAGTGACCTCAAGAGCTGAAGAGATGAGGCCACCATTTGGTTGTTGCATGGTTGCACGTTCGTAGCAGTCCGGCTTCGGCACAAGACAGCTTCAAACGTGAGACATCTGGCCTCCACTCGCTCAGAGGCCCAGCCATCGTAGCACCTTGGCACTTCAGGAGTTGCAGCAATGATGCTCTGAGCTATGCCTCGCAATGCTGCGATTTCTGCACAAAGCACAATGGTCTCCTCGCCGCCGCGTCTGCATCACGCTGTCCCTCAGTGCCTCCTGGGCGCACGGGAAGCTGTGACTTACAGTACCACTTGCCTCGACAAAACATACAAAGGGGGCCCAAGACCCTCACCACCTTCCCTCACTGCTTGTAGTGTGTTGCTTGACCCCTCATGGCCAAAAGCTCGGTCACCCGACCCAGGAGAGCTCTAGTTTTTCAAGACGCTTGCAAGCTCCTCTCTTTCGTGAGTGTGGCCACCAGTTGCCTGGGAACCAAGTTTCGTCTGGGCTGCGTCTTTGGCAATGGCAAGATCTTCCCCCCACGGCACTTCAAGCCTTGGGAAGGGACATCAAAAGCGCTCAACGTCTCTTCTTGGGCCCAAGGATCCTAAGGTCGGGGCTTTCATCGTCAATGGAACCCTCACACACCCCATGTCGCTCACTACGCTTTGAGAGCGGCTTCAAGTTCTCAAGATTGCACATGCCATGGATCGGAAGGTGATTGCAGCACAGCTGCTCTTCTCTGGGGCAGGCGGAGGCGGTGGCGGCAATTCGGCCTCCGGAAGTCTCTTTCCCTACGCGTCCTCTAGCCTTCTGCACTTCGCCACTTCCGAACGCGGCAGAATGCAGAAGGGCTTCAGCAGATCCTAAGAAGTTTGGCGAGCCAACAACCCGATGTCGCTGTTGACGCGTTGCGACGTACTCGCAAGGTTTCGCAAGCGTTCGGATTCACAGGCGTCCAGGAACGTCTGCATCCGTGGACGCTTTCGCATCACTGCAGGGAATGCGCAATAAAAATGGGAGGTGATGGGTGGCCGGGAACGCGGGATGGTCTTGTGCAGTTCCGTCTTTTCGAAACTGAAGGTTCGGTCTGTGTTCTCTCGGGGCGTTGTGTGTGGACGCATACTATTATGTTCCAACGCCAACTATTCTGAGATCTTAACCGCAACTGTGAAATTTTGCCGTAGGTGTACTCATATGAATTCCTGGGTCCGGGGCCTGGCGCCTTTCTTAAACCATATCCAGCACTGACCCCTGAAACCTCAGCAGCGATGCTGGCTGGGACCTCCTCAATTGCCTCTGGCTCTTGTGGCTCACGTCCCTTGTAGCCTGCGGCCGGCAACACAAACTGATAGGAATGGATGCAGTTCGGGCTGGCAACCGCGGAACTCCAGAATCCTGATAATTCATCGAATTGTGTCTCTTCGGTCGAAGCCTTTCCCACCTGACTCCCCAGAAGTCTGCAGGCAAGGTGCGATCGAAACTTGGCGCACCCTTTGCCAGGGACGGGCGCAGGGCGTCAAACTTCCTTGGTACTCCAAAATCACAGTCTGCACATGAGACCCATCATCCTATCCTGATGCTCATCAGCGACCTCACCAGCATGATCATCATCACCCAAAGCAGCGGCAGCGGCAGTGGTAGCATTCCATCAGTCATCATGGCTCAATGGTTTTAGGCATCTCCCCTCTGGCTGCCCAGCCGCGGCTCATACGCTCCAGGCCCAGGAGGTTCTGCCGAGCCCACAGAGAGCAACCTCGGTTTGCACTCAGGGCTCCGTTCAGGGAGGGCACACGGGGCTCTTAAGAAAAGCCCTCTGTCAAGAACAGGAAATCAGCAGCTGAGAGGCTCGGAAAGCTCGCTGCCAGCAGAGGTGCTGGCGTCGTCAAGGAAGTCGTCGCCCGCCCTGTGTTCCAAATTGCATGCTTGAATTGTGATAATTGTGATGTGCTGCAGACCCACCCCCTGCGCTAGGCGTGCTGCGCTTGGCAGGCGTCTTCCTCCTTCAGCAAGGCCTGCCAAAAGCCAAGCCCCCACAAGCCCACACAAAGCAATGCTTTTCCCAGAAGGCCAGGAGCAGAGCCAGTGAGACGATCACTACCGAAAGTTCCTGAAGGTATTGGCTGTGCTCCGCTGTGCTCCCTACGCCCTTCCGCCTGCCATGCTGCCGCAACGCCTTCCAGACCCGGTGTCGCTAGGTGAGCTGCCGCCTCCTGACAGGCGGTCTGCTGAGAAAGGAACTTCAATGCTTTGCTCTATTTATTGCTCTGGGTCATTGCAGCCGTCAGTGTAACCCAAGCCTTGAGACCTTGAGCGGATGATTGCAGAGATCTGCTGGGCCTCTACCGCAAGAGCTACGTAGGAGTTGTAGCGATGGCCGGGAGACAGCAGTTCCAAATGCCAGTCTCGTGCCTGGTTGCAAGAGACAAGAGCCCAATATCGAACTGGAGCACCCGAGCTGAAGGCTCGTGTTGCGCAATCTGTCCTTTGAATTCGCTTCTGCGGCGATGTGCTTCAACCATCGCCGAGCCTGCACAAGTGTGCAGTTCCTGTTCATTGCTGCAATATCACCATGCCATTCAGTATCATTCTGTGCTGTCATCCAAAACCATCCAAAACCCACCTCCTGGATTTGCCTCGGCTTCAGAGACTCAGGCGGGGCGATGATTGCACCTGGTCCACAGGCGAGTCCAACCGCTGGTTGTGACCATGTTCTGCTACAGAAGGGGAGCAGCCCATGGCCAAGACCTCCTTGGAAAAAACCGTCACGGAAAGCACTAATCCATGCAAAGCCGCGCAGAGCCATGCAAAGCTTGGAAGCTCCGTGATGCACACATGCTCGCAAAGAACCCTCCGACGCCTTTGCTGACGGTTGATGTCGACAGGAAGCTATGAGAAGGATGCAGAAAAGGCACCTGGCACATCAGTCCACGGGAACTCAGGAAATTTCGAAGCTGTCCAGCCTGTGCAGTTTGGCGAGCCCCCAGCCTCCTCTTCGGTGATACGTTTGGCTGGAAAGCGTGCCTCATCACATGCCGAGTTTGTGCAAAAGGTCTTGGCTGCCGCCATCTCTGCCAGCCAAAGCAATGTTATGTAAATGCGAACAGAGATGCAGACACATGCTCATATGCAAAGTAATCAAAACACCCACGTACACATGGAGTTCCGCACCGTCTTCTCCCCGCCCTGTGGCTTGGTCTTCTGGGGTCGCCGAATAGATTGCGAAATGAACAGTGCGGCAAGGCCACGATGTTCGGCCACACTTCTTGTGATGCTAGGGAAAGATCAACCTAAACCAACATGGCAAAAAGTGTTCTAGGGCCTAGTAGGGCCAAGCATCTTGAGGTAAAGCAAAATGTGGCGGGGCTTTGTCATTCCATGGTTTGAGGTAGGATATCTTCGGGGGAAGGGTTCGCAAACCCTGGATCGTTCATCATTCATCCGTCCGTAGGTACCATACATGAACTGGCCTCGGTGGCGAAGGTGCCGCGCTGGGAGCGCCCTTTGGCTCCTCCAGAGCGTCTGAGGGCTCCGAGGGCTGTCTGAGGCCCAGGTCTCAGGCAGTGGTGCGGAAGAACGTCTTTAGAAACATGAGGGTGGCTTACAAGCTGGCTCGCAGACAAAATGCTCAATCCCATTTTTGCTGATGTCATGGCCTGAGGAAGAAGAGCATGTGCGCGGGCATGTCCTGTGACCAGAGGCACGCAGGAACCCTGACTGTGAGCCCAAAACAGATTCGGCTTGGTATCTGTCTGAATACCAACAGTAGTATGAAAATGTGTGCGTGTGTGTGTGTGCGCATATATATATATATATATGTATATATATATATATGCATGTGTATATATATGTATATATATATGTGTGTGTATATATACATATGCATATGCATACATATATATATATATATGTGTGTAAATATATACATGTATATGCATATACATATATACATATATGTACATACATACACGTATATGGATATAGATGTGTGTCTGTACACATCTATGTGTGTCAGTACACATATATACACACACATAAAACTATTTTACTTCGAATACTCTGGCGTTGGGCACTCCAGGTACACTCTGGGACTGGGCACTCGGGGACACTCTGGGGTTGGGCACTCCAGGGACACTCTGGGGTCCGGGGACACCCTCACAGGGGTGGGCACTCCAGGGAGACTCTCGGTTTGGGCACTCCAGGCAGACTCTGGGACTGGGCACTCCGGGGAGACTCTGGGGTTGCTCCAGGGGGGTTGAGCGAGGAGTAGACCGGGCGAGGAGAAGAGTTCCAGGCGAGGAGAAGAATTCCGGGCGAGGAGAAGAGTTGAGTTTAAAATCTAACAACCCCACACCGAGGGTGGGGAAAAATGTATATATATATATATATATAAACATATGCGTAGTATTGTTCTTCCTTGTTCGGGCGGCGCCTCCACGTCGGCAAGGCAGAGGCACGGCACCAGCGCCCAGGAAGCTAAAGGGGCGAGAGGGGTGTGGCGAAACCAGGAAAAGGGAGGGGGGAGTTCGGGGCTCATGGGGGGGTTCTTGAACGGGTTTGTTTTGCTTCTTTACTGGACGTGAAGTTGCGAGAAGCAGAGGCCTAGAAGTTCTTGATCCCAACTTCGGGAGAGAGGTCCACACAGCGCGCCCTCAAAGTCTGGAGGAAAAGAACAACAGAAACCCGCAGCTGCGAACTAATCCGAACTTCGATGCCCTCAGTTGCAGGCTCAGCCTCGCCTGGTCCTGCAAAGCCCGGCCTGAGGGTTGGAACTCTTGTCACTCTTGTCTTACAAACACCTTCTGCACTGGTATACAATGATCTCTAAAGCGCTTACAACACGCTTACAACTGCATCAACTGTGAACGATCCGCCCAAGTGACAATTCGCACCGCAAACCTCAGACCGGTTCTGTGCTGCCGTCGGGTTGTCCTTTCGTGTGAGAACGCATCCGAAAAAGCGACTTTTCTTGACAAACGAATGGGTTCTCCATAGATGGCGGCAAAGTGGGCCGGAAAACTGCTTCTCTCAAAGGTTGCCTTTTGCAAAATGTCGCTTGTGCACAAAAGTTGTTTTCGAGACAGTTTGCCGTTCGGACGTGCTTTCCCTTTGTAAAAGGCGCCTTTTTTGCGACTGAAGGTAAGAGAGCCGTGCGGCCAGATTCTCCAAAGTGTCTGAAAAGGTTCCTGGACATTTGATCAGAAGCAAGGATCTTGGGAGCACCCACTTTGTTGACCACCGATTTCCTAGCGGACCTCCACGTCCATGTCGGGCCATCCCAAGTGCACAATCAATTGAATCCCCGAAGCTGGAACCCATGGGATCTGCAACAGATGCGCGAGCTCTCATAGCTCCAGCCTCGCTGGCCGGCCCGTGGCGAAGTCACCACCGCAGGGCCGTGCAGCTGGGCCTCCCGGGAAGGCTGGGGTTCGGGTTGGAGATCGTGGCTTTGCCCTCAGGTTCTCGTAGCATCTTAGAAAGTCGCAAGAGCTCTATCACATCTCACAACGTGTCTCTGCATCGGCATTCGACCTCGATCGCTTGCAACGCATTCTCGGTCTCCAGCAGTTGACGGTCCAAATCATCCAATGCATCCACCATGGTCCATGGTGAATTCTACTTGCGGGCTTTGTGATGAGAACAGGGCTTCCGTTTCATCCAAGTTGGGCTTCGATTCGCAGCGTAGCATTTGCGCTTGTTGCGAAACACCATGGAGAATCTTCGCATCTGCCATGACTGCCATGAGCCGCTTAAGAACTTGCGGAGCATGAGCCCAGAGCGACGAGACAAACTAGTACAGACCGCCAAGACACCCAACACACACCGATTCCAGCAACAATTACATCTACTCGTCTAGAAACAGAAGATACACGAAGAATCCATTGAGGCTGCGCGTTGCGCGCTGGATGTGCAGAAGCAGTCGGGTGCGTTCTGGGCTGCCCTTTTGCAATGCAGCAACTTGCCAAGGGATGATACCTGAATCCTGGATTCCGCGAGCCGCGCTGGCAAATAACAAGGCATTTTCCTGCTGTTGCTGTTGGACACGCTCCAAGATTCAAGTCCTCGTAGTCCGAGGTGTCCTCTTGCGAAAGAGGTAATCCTCGATCAAGACGAAATCTAAATCTGGCAGCTCATTCAGCATCTTCAGGCAGTCTCTCACGCCTCAAGCATAGTGAAAAGGCTGGCGTTGTACATTCTGTCTGTGTGCCATCCGGTTCTAAGTTGAAGGTTGCAAAGTGCCAGTTTGGCAAGAAAGACTCACACAGCTGCTTGAGTCTATCAGTCATCATGCAGAGCTGGACTCACACAGCTGCTTGCGTCGGCATTACTGAAGCGACTAGGCATTGACAGAAAAAGTGCACCCTTCCCCTCCCTCTGCCAAGCCAAAGAAACGGTTCACGATGGGCTTGCCCTTGGAATTGAAGCTCGTGTTGATGAGGGCTGCTAGGCCCGTCAGCCGGCCTACCGCCATCCTGGGATTTGGGGACGCCGAAACTTGCCCCCAACTTGCCCTATGCGCGGGGCATCGGAGGGATCCGAGAGTCTCGAGTTGTAGGCATAACTGTCGGAACTCAGCTTTGCTAGACTTTGCTCGCGACCCGATTTTGATCACGGCCCCCCTAACAGCCACGCTCGAGTCTTCGCTAAGAAGCAGAAGGGCATGAACCCAGGGCTCATCGTGCTCGCTCACCTGAGAGAGTGGTTCTATCGTTTTTGCGAGTACCCGGAGAAAAAAAAAAGCCGAGCACGGGAAGAGTGCATCGGAACGGCGCATGTCGCTTGCTGGACTTGCGCTTCCGTAGATTTCGGCGAGGTGCAGATTGGTGCCTCGGGAGCCACTCACTTCGGAAACTGCGTGCAATCTCTGAAGCCTCATTGGCCGAAAGCTCCCTTCAGGTCTCAACCCAAGGCCATTGAAGTTCGGGCTTCGAATGAGAGAACTCTCCCACGCGCGGTACTCTCATCTTCAAAAGGTTTTAATTCCATGTGGAAAAGTACAACCGTGCCAATAACAACGAATCAGCTCCTCCCTTTGTCTCCTTGCCACATCCCCTAAGCCTGATGTCCTCTCTGATGCCCAGCTCTTGATTATCCATTCGAAAACCCACCCTTAAGCATTGCCTTACAGTAGCAGGACTAGCTTTGTTCCGATTTGTTCCAGCCTGCACGACATGACGCTTGCAAAGTGGCAGAGCTAAGGCCCCGCCTGGCAGTGCCGTCCAGGTGTGCCAAGGCGGGGAAGCGGTTCTGGATCTCAGGCAAAACCTGCGGCGCCATCGTCCTCAACACTTGGCTCCAAAGAGCCACGGGAGAGCAACGAGGCAACATGAGGCAACGAGACTCTGGAAAGAGCTGCCTTTTGAAGCATGTCTTGGCGCCAAGACTCATGTATGGCGAACGCACCGGCCGACCAAACACCTGCTCCATGGCCTGCAGCAGGTGCTCGGACAGGAGGGGTGACACATAAATCGACTTGTGAGGGACAAAGTTTCAAAGGGGCTCTGAAGCTTGTGGGTTCAGGCGGTTCAGGGAGTTGAGGGCCTCTTCCGCCACCATGGGCGCAACCGGCCGATACCAGGCCCCTGGCAAGGCCCAAGTTTTACTGCACTGAGAGCGGCAAAAGCTTCCAAATGCATCATGCTGTGTCCAGGCCACAACTGTTACTAGCGTCTACTCCACGATTCTGGCAAAGCACAGCCCATTGAAGTTACAAAACACCTATGTACTGGAGCTAGGGTCCATGCTAGACAGGAGGCTTGAGCCTTACTGCTATCTTAGCTGCTGCCAAAGCTCGGGCTTTGAGCCGGTTCATCCGATCACGCATCTCCTGAAGCATGCCAAGCGAAGGACCGAAACTGCAATTTAGCTGCCTCCGCGGCTCCCTGGCGTCCTGGGAGTCTGGCACCGCCAGCAGGGACCGGTGGCCCAGCGCCCGCGGCCCAAATTCCTTGGATGGTTCCGAACTCCAGTTGTGGAAAGCTTTCCCTGCCAGTACTAAATTCCCTTGCAATAGGGGGTTGGTGGGGCATTTGCTTTTCCATTCTCCGAGTACTTTAGTCCAGAATCCTGGCGGCCGCGGACCACTGCAATGATGGGCTTGTCAGCGGTCCGATTGGGATGCCTGTCGGCGGATCAACGGTCAAAGCTTTGAACGGTCGCACTTTACCCTTCCTCCATTTTGATCTTCCAATGCAACATTGGTGACTGGAGAGTCGAGAAGATGATATCCTAAACCCCTCCCGGTTGAAAAGAGCCGGGTTAATACCCTGTAGACTCTGCTATAGACTGCTCGTAGCTGGAAGGCATTTGCAAATCTGGGCCCCCTGGCCCATCGACAACCTGCCCTCCTACCTCCAACCGGCCCCACACAATCCCTGCTTGGACCTCTGCCACGCCGGGCCCCCTGCGAGCAGCTCCGCGAGGTACTCGACGCCACCAAGCTTCGAAAGGCGCCTCAGGGGTGGGGCAACGAGTCAAAGGCTTAGGGTTTAGGGCCTAGGGCCTGGCGTTTAGGCTTAGGGTAGGGTTTCAGGAGCGCTATTGTTTGGTGGGGAGTTCAGGGTTTGGCTTCCTGACAGGGGAGGTGGGCTCAAGGTGCATGAAGGGGCTTGTGGGGAAGCGCTCTGGCAAAAAACTGGGCCCACAATACGAGTTCAACAAGTGCTCCAATGTCTGCTCCAAGCCCAGCTAACATACCTAAAGCAATGCAGGTTCCAGCTGCGGCACGGCAATAAAGGCTTTATCTTGAGGCTTCTTGTCAGAATCACCCCAAAGGCCCTTACCCCATAATAGAACAAACACCAACCTAATGGACTCTGATGGGCCCGTTCAGACATAAACTACAGCACCGTTTTCTTCCTGCCACAGGTGTGGATCTCTTGGGAAGGTCTGGAATAATACAAACACTTAGACGGGCAGATCGCTTTGCAGGCATGCCTAAGGCAGGCCTACGGCGGCATCTGCCCCAAAGGCTAACGTTAAAAATGGAAAGAAACCCATTGAGTTGCTTTCGTTACCGCAAAAAGTTGCTTTTGTTATCTCACAGCTTGGCTTCAGTGGCTCTTTCAGTGGGGTGCGGAACGTTCAAGCGGTGTCGACAGCATCTCAGGATCTACACCTCAAACTAAGCATGTAGGCTCGAGGCAGTTGAACTTTCCCGGAGTCCTGAAGGTTAGGTACAAGTTACAAGTTGAGACCGACATCCCAGCTGCGGCTGTTGCAACGAAACTCGAAGAAGAAAGTACAATCGTCAGCCGATGGCGCACACGTCCAGTTCGCGATTTGTTCACGTCAAGGTACGTCCGTTACAGATAGGTCCGCACCACCAGCAACTACGCAACACGAACGACACATGGGGCAAGCGGAGGACTCACGAACCAAAAACCACCGCATGACACACTTCTCGTGGAAGACGTGTCCGCATGGCAGGCGTGCCACCACATCTTCTGCCGTGAAGTCATCCATGCAGCATGCACACGTGCTCTCGAGAACACATGGCTTGGATGTCACTGTGACTCTCCCCAGCACGATCTTGACTGGATCTATTGAAGGATCCATGGGTTTCTGAACTTCCACAAGCCGAAAGTCTGGGTCAGCTACTCCCACAGCTGCAAAAGCCACAGAACACCACACTCTCTTGTGTGCCTCAGTTGTCCCTCCCTCCTCCATCTGTGGTTGGATGCGCGCACTTCGCAAACAGCAGCAACAGCTGCACAGGCATAGTGAGAAGCACACACAGCCTGTCAGGCTCACCATGACAATACCAATCTCCGTCAAATATGGTATATCAGGCGAAGTTTGGCCGACGACCAGGAAGCATACACAAGAACCTAACCAGCCGCAAACTAGATACAGCAGCTTTGCACACGCATCGCCATCCGACATTTACTGCACCTTGCGGTGCGGATTCGATAATCTGTGTTCTGGAAACCGCTCTGTGAATGGAGTAAATACATGCGACATGTAGCATGTTCCCTTCAGACATATTGGCCTTTATTGGCCCTGCTACTGAGCCAAGGCTTCAGGGAACGCAGCCGCAGAATCTTAGGCCCATCTTCTCAGGTTGCCGGCTGCATTCTCAGATCACTAGTCACTAGCACAGCTTGGCACAGCTTGGCACAGCTTGGCACAGCTAAAACTACGCTTCGTCGTTTCAAGTTGACAGACCCAGAGAGCGTGGCAGATTCGTTGGCCTGGCCCCGTGGCTCCGAGCTAACTCCAGCAGCAGATGGCGGTCCCAGAGCGGAAAGCCAAGATACCTTCAGAGTCTCAGAATGTCTCAGTGACAACAGCGACAACCTTGAGACTGGGAGGGCCCCGATCACAACGACGATGACCCTACAGAACCCACAAAACCTGCTCAAAGGAACTGAACACAGTCATGCTGAAGCCCAACAAGCCTTCTTCGTCGAAGCATATCCGATCAGATCCATCATTCGTCAAGGAGTGAAAATCCTTCTAAACCACTGCCCACCAACCCGCCACCCCCCCCCCCAACAAAAACGCCCGAAAAGCATCTGCGAAGCCCCGAAGAGCATCCCTGAGCCCCAAAGCGCTTCTGGGAGACTGCAGGTTCTGCTGTCCACTCGGTGGTGCCACGGACCAGAGACCGCCCACAGTGAGTCCTTGCAACATTCACTCAACTCAGACTTTGGGACTTTTTGGGAGTCCCGAAGACTCCACCCCTCGAATGTACACTACAACAATGTGGACATCAGCCTGGACTACCTGGACCTTCTGCCAGCTGACCTCGTAGAGTTCTGAAGTCCACCGAACTCATGCTGCGCTTGTAGCCCTTAGATCCGAGCAGCCGCTGTCGTTGGGCGCCATTGGAACAAAGAAGTCTGGGTCGCGGCCTTTCTCACCACCTCACACAGACTCAGGGAGGGAGAGAGGGAGGGAGGGGGAGACAGCGAGACAAGAGAGACAAGAGAGACAGAGACAGAGAGACAGAGAGACAGACAAACAAGAGAGATAAGAGAGACAGAGAGAGAGAGAGTGAGCGCAGCAGCGAGGGAGAGAGAAGGAGAGCGCAGGGGAACGGGGGAGGGGGCGTGGCATTCGGTCTCTGAGGCTCCACCAGCTTACCCTAAGGGTGGAAATTCTGAGGCCCGACAGGACATGAGGACCTTCAGGCGAAACGTCTCAAGTCGCAGCCGAGGAACCAGGTTTGGCCGATGACAGTGTGTCGTAAACGACCTGGTGCTTCCATGTTCGGCCAAAGTGGCAGTGTCTGAGTATGCAGAAGCACCGACAGGAACAATTGTGTGGAATTGCCATCTGGGCGCCTGGTTTGTGAGCACGTTGAGGGCGCAACCACCACTAAGAACGATGCTGTCGACCTTCCCAGGCCTTGGCTTCCTTTCAAACGAAAACATGTAGGCGTGCATTCAATAGAGTTGCCAAGTGAGATTTCTTCTTGCAAGTTGTTCTGCCTCCAAGATGCCCCAAAAAACGCAGGAAGGCCTCCAGGCGGCTCAGCACGAAATGCTCGAACTCCGACTGCATCGTCGCAGCGACGGCACGTTGCCCCTCCAGTGACTCGCAGGCAGCCCGTACCATCAAAGTGGGCAGAGCCATCGCGCCTGGGATGAAGGACCTGCATTCCTCCATAAGAAAGCGCATAGACTCGCGCAGCTCGTCCCTCGCAGTGCCGACAGCTGAGTAGCCCATCATCTTGCCTGGCCAACTTAGCTTCTCAACTGCCTTCTCGTGATAGGCACCTATCCGCACAAGCTTCGATCCCGACGATGCATTCAGTACGTCAGGGTCGCTGCAGTTCACGAAGTCTGACAGGGGATGGCCTGACACTTCAGGCATAAGGACGCCAGCTACGTCATATGCATTGCCGAGGGAATACCCCAGCTGCGCAATGCGCTCAAATTTTCCCATCGATGCCAAATACACGTTGAAGGACCCATCATTGCCAGCAGAGTCATAAGATAAAATGAGGGTTGTCCGAGAAGGGGTGGAATGGAATGGAGAGGCGTAGTAGCCCAGTAGCGCATGTGATTCATGATGATCGACCATGTGCCACTGCTCTACGGTGAAGATCATGCCCACAACGCCTCGCAGCCAAAGTTGGTAACACTCGAACTCCCCAGCAAAAACGATAACGCCGTCATTGAAGTGCGCTGGAAAAGTCCCATCCTCATATTCGCAGTGTCTCTGCACGGCACGAAGCGCCTTGTGCCACTCAGTCTGATAGCGGTCAGGTGAGAGGGTGATGTTGGGACGGTAATATCTGATGTCGAATAGTCGCTCCAACTCGAGAATACACTGGATCCGGCCGTTTTGACTGACAGCGATACCTCGAATCAGCAACATCTCTGTGGCAGGCAGC